TTTAAGTGAACATGTCTTAAATGAACAAACAACCAAGAAGTATGGCTAGAAGAAGTATATGTTCTCAAAACATCTTGGTGTGGAAGAATAAAAAGAATATTTGCGAACTCTAACAACCCGTCAAATTAACGAACAAACTTATTCTATTGGTTCAAAAAATACGCTGACTAAGCGAAATAAATTTCTAGAGTATTCTGTTGAAATGATTTAGAAATTATATCATTCACCATTTGTAATGTTTTGAGATTTCTAGCATAAATTGTTTTAAGAATATATTATCAATTCTATGGCTCATTCTCGGAGCCACATCTGCACACATAAAAATATCGGAGCCACATCTGCACACATAAAAATATCGGAGCCACATCTGCACACATAAAAATATCGGAGCCACATCTGCACACATAAAAATATCGGAGCCACATCTGCAAACGCCTAAATCTTATAAACTATTATTATTTGTTTACAAAAATGTTTTAAATATAAATTATTTAAATTGTCAAAATTTTGAAAGTTTATTATAAATTATAAATTTCATTAGTATATATTTATTTTTTATTTAAAAATTATGTATTTTTTATGTAAATGTAATTATTTATATCTGTTTTTTATTGATTTAATTTGTAAACAAAGACTTAAAAAATAATTGCGTTTTCAAGCAAGTTAATAATTATTAAAGTTAATAAAACTAATTATGTAACAAACATAAAAAGATTCTGGTTACTAAACACAAACAATGCATACAAAGTAACTCGCAGATGAACAATCACTGCGCCTGAGGTCACGACAGAAAAAAAATATATATAGCAAATTATTAGATATAAAGAAAAATTTCTAGATATTGGTTTACTAAATCACTTAAGTTGCCATTCTTAAAAACTCGTTATACTTTTTTCTGCTTTAAATACCAATTAAAATTAAAAAGCCCACTCACTAAACGTCATCATCGATATCGTCATACAGTATTTTTAACCTTCCTCGTCATACAGTATTTTTAACCTTTTTAGTTGATTTCTATCTAGTTAATTTAATTTCTATAGTAACTCAAAGATTTAATTATTTCCTTTTTAAACAACAGTAAGATGTTACTTTTTATAAAAAATTTCGCTTAATTTTATAAAAAAATTATAAGAGAGCGATGTTTAGAAAATATTTGTTCTAAACGTAATTTATTTTGCTTTAAGTTTTTTCGCGTTAAAGGGACTACCAAGTCCCGAGACATGTTGTGTTCATATTAAAGAGAATGTTAAAAAAAAACGTCTGAGCAAATTTTTTTTGATTAAAACTAATAAATAAATGTATACCAAGAAAAACAAATCTTGTTATTTTAGTCGAAGCTTGTCTTCTCCATTTTCTGCGGTATTTTGAGTATGTAAAATAAACGCAATTTTCTAGGCATATTATACAGGCTTGATAATTTATTCAAGCGCGTTTAATTCATAGGAGTTTTAATGCATGACGTCATTGAAAACATTCTAGAAATTCTGAAAAATTTTACTATTAAATTTTACTATAATAGCTAACTATAGTTACTTATTTTATTAAAAGTTTATTTTATTAATTGTTCGTTAGTTTTTTACAAATCTAAAAAACAATTAATTAAACCAAGCACTAAGAAAATTAAAGATATAAAAATTAAGAATATACTAATAAAATATATAATTTGTAATTAACTTTCAAAATTTTGACAATTTAAAAAATATATATTATAAAACATTTATTTTTGTAAACAAATGATAATAGTTTAAAAGATTCACGGCTTTACAGATGAGGCTCTGAGAATGAGCCATAATTCTAAAGTAATAGTTCATTTGATAATATATTCTTAAAAAAATTTATGATAGATATCTCAAAACGCAACAAATCGTAAATAATTTAATTCCTAGAAACTTTTTTTCGCTTAGTCAGCGTATTTTTTGAATCAATAGAATTAGTTTGTTCGCAAATTTGGCGGGTTTTTAGTTTTCGCAAATATTCTTTTTATTCTTCCGTAAGATGTTTTAAGAACATTCAAGTTAATTATGTTTCCATGTATGTCTGTAAAATAAAAATTAATATATATTAATTTTTTAATTTTTAAGCCTCCACCATAATATATATTGGATGTTATAATAATGGAAATATAAATAATGAAATAAAATCACCTCAATACCAAAAAATACATTTTTGAAAATCAGAGAAAAAATGCATTAATAATATTTTTTTAAATATCTACAAAGTAAATTAATAAAAGTGCATTATTATTTAGATTAAAAATTATTTTATCTAATATTTTGAAAGAAAAACTTAAAAAAAAGAAATCAAAATACACGTAGTCTAGACGATTATTTAAAAAAGTTGCGCAAATAAAATACTATTTTGTTTTTTATTTTATTTTTGTTTTTAATTTTATTTTGTTTTTAATTTTATTTTGTTTTTAATTTTATTTTGTTTTTAATTTTATTTTGTTTTTAATTTTATTTTGTTTTTAATTTTATTTTGTTTTTAATTTTGTTTTACAAACACATTTTAGAACTTTAAAATATAATAAAAATGAATATGATTTGGAAACTGTATGTAAAAAATAACAATCGGTGTTTTAAACAAACAAAAAAAAAATCTATGAAGTCATGCACTAAAACTCCTATGAATGAAACGCGCTTGAATAAATTATCAAGTCTGTATAATGCGCATGGAAAATCGCGTTTATTTTACATACTCAAAATATCGCAGAAAATGGAGAAGACGAGCTTCGACTAAATCAACAAGACTTGTTTTTCTTGGTATACATTTATTAATTAGTTTTAATCAAAAACAATTTGCTCAGACGGGTTTTTTTTAACATTCTTTTTAATATGAACACAACATGTCTCGGGACTTGGTAGTCCCTATAAAAGATATTTCATATTCCTGATTTTTTTTTTTTTTTTTTTTGGTAACTGTCTTTTATTGGTCTAATTAATTTTTTGCGCATTTTTTTTTTTGCTTTTTGAAATGTTCTAAAAATGAAATTAACTAAAAAATCTGGCCAGCTTTTCGCAACTAAATATTATTTCTGTGGTCAGCAATCGAGAGCGATCGATAATCAAAGGGAAAAATGATACCGAACAAAATACCAAATCATTAATTTCAAAATTGTAGGAGCTGATTTATTTAAATGTAATAGTCAAGATGATGGATGGCGGAGAATCAGTAATAGTGGTCAACTGCTATAGTCGTAATTGAAAAATTTAAAAACAATATCACTGACAGTTGTAAAGAAACTGAAAATGATTTTTTTTTAACTTGGTATACAGCAATTAGTACTTTGTGGCAGCAGCATATAGTTTACATCCTCAGAATTTTTAACTTTAAATAAGTGGGAATTAAAGCAAAAAAATAGTATCCCTGAGTATCAAGAACCAATTAGAATAGCTGTATCAACAACCAATTAGAATGGAGTATCAACAACCAATCAGAATGAGTATCAACAACCAATTAGAATGGAGTATCAACAACCAATTAGAATGGCTGAGATATGTGCTAACACCAAAGAAATTGCTAATCAAAGCAAAAAGGTTGATTTGAGATCTGTACCAAGCTTTACTATAAGTGAAAATTATTTAATGTTTCTTTTACAAGCATAAGTACATCCAATGGACATAACTAAATTTAAAAATTTTTAATTTATGAAGTATTACAGCAAACACACAGAAACGTTAAAAAAAAAAGGAAATGGAGAGAGACAACTGATGTTGTAAGTCAACAAAAGCAAGTTGACATCAGTTTCATGATTTTGTGTTTAGTTTCAAGGTTTAAATTTTTGGGAGATCAAACAGATATGCGGTAATAATTTTAGTAATAATTTTTGGTATATTAGAACACGAATGATATCACTAATTATGATATGATTTTCTTTAAAGGTATACTTAAAATATAACAAAATACCTTACGAATTCAAGACACTTACAAAAAGTAATGTTTACTAATAAAAAATAAAAATTAACGTAAAATTAAAGCTTTTTTTTCTAAAAAAAAATTTAAAATATCCTAATGTTTATTATTCAATACTTTTAGTTGATCACTTTTCTGGTTTTTTTTTTTTTTAGGGTTTGTCTTATTTTTACAGACTTTAACAAATTAAAAAAAAAAATTTAATTATAAAAACTTTTAATAAATAAAGAATAAATAAGAATAATTTAAAAACCTGGTACTCGTCATCACCAAGTTTATTTGTCAATTCCTGCATAAATTTTGAAACACTTATTGAATAAATGCATTTTTGAATTTCAGACCAATATAAAAGAATGTCATTATTTACAGTCAGCAAATCTTTGATAGATTCATTTGATGTAGTTTCCTGGATTTCAGATTGGATTTCCTTTAGAAAAGACTTGCATGGTTTATGATAAGAACAAGCCATACTTTTTTTTGTCACATTACTTTCACTTTCGCATTAATTAACTCAAGCTGCTTCCGTAAAATCAAAAGCATAAATACGGATAGAACGAACACCTGTGGTAATAAAAACTAATACCTAGGGAAAATAATTATATGATATTCATCACACTTCTAAAAATGGCAAAGATTAAAAAAAAAAATAGTAAAAAATTCTTTTGCAGGAATTGGTCCACCGTTAAGTATTTCAGTAGGCTGGTTTAAAAATAAAGAAATTGGGACATAAAGAAAAAAAAATGCGCTTTGTATATAAACTGGATTTGGTTTTTACAAAAAATGAACCCATAAAACTACATTGGTCATCAGTGACAATCCATTATGTTGTTTTAGTATGAATACAATTTTGATATTAAATATTTTAAACATTAAAAGAGATTTTTTGTTAAATTTTTTTATTGAAATAAATCAAATGATCACAATATAAATTTATTATCAAATGATCACAATATAAATTTATTATGAAATAATAAAAAAAAAACTAAAAACCAAAATATTAATATTATAAATATTATAAAATGCCAATATAAACAACCACAACAACAAAATTAAGAAAACCATTACAAAAAAAAAATTTACAAAACATAAAAAAAAAAAAAAGAAAGAAAGAAATATTTTGTCAACAATCCTTCAGTTCTAATCCATTCCGTTTTAGCATGGAATTCAATAAATTCTGAATAATATCTTTTGAAACTATGCAGTGATTTTGTTAATTCTTCTTTTAGAAGAACAAAATCAGAATAAGTAGGCATTAAATAATTATCAGAATGAATAATTAACAAAATCAGTCTATTTTGTCATGTGATGTTCTTCTCACCATCACTTGATTTTGTTTCATCAATTCATCATCATTTGGTTTAGGTTCATTTTTTGAGTTTTTATGTCATTTTTGACTTAGATTGTTAGATGACATCTTTTTTTAACTATGGAAATAATTGAACGTTCATTTCTTTAATTTGAAATGCTGGGTGTTACAGTATGCAAAAGATTTTTAATTACATTGTAATCGTGATTTCGTTGGAAACTCAACTAACCGTTGAATTTGTTGTGTCTAAATGTTTCGCAAATTCTTCCATCGAAATGATTTGTTCATTTATTCCTATGGTTTTACATTTTGTCATATCGATAGTTTTTCTAGGTATTTTGACTGTTTTATTGTAAAAACCTGTAGTTAATTAGATAATAACTTTTATATTTCATTTTACACAAACTTTTTTAGTATTTATAACAATTTAAATACAATTTTTTAAATAATTATTAAGAACCTGCAAATAAGTTAAAAGTTTTACTCAAGGAAATTTGAAATAATAGAGTAGATTTTTAATTTTGGCTTAAATTTGGCAAACCTTATTATTCTAAGCAAAAAGTCGATGAAAACGCTGACTTGGACTTGGACTTGGACTTATTTTTATTATTTACTTTTTATGGCTCTTGTCATAAAAAGTAAATAATAAAAATTGTGAGGAATAAAGTTTAATAATTATATAATTTTTTTAAATTTAGTTTTAACAATAAAAATTAGTTAGGAAGACAGCGAAAAGTAAAGCTTTCCCGACATTCTTTCTTTTTAAACAATTTTTAGTGAAAAATGCCACATAAGAAATCCTTTAATAATTTTAATTTGAATAATTTATTAATAATTTAATAAAAAGAGTTGTTTCATAAAATTAATAATTAATAATTTTATAAAAAAAGTTATTTAAAAAATAAATATCACTTGGTTAAATCACATTAATAAACCAATCTGTTTACCAATTTAAAAAGATTATCAAATTTAAAATTTATAACTAATGTTATTGTAATGCTGAGGATTTTAGTTTATCTTTTTTTATGTTTAACTTTTTGGTTTTTTTAATTTAAAGATTTAACTTAAATTAAGTATAAACAATTCGAAGATTCAAAGAAAAATGATATGGATTACATTCATCGTGATTCTAGTAAAGTATTTATTAATATGTTGAATGCTGGATCTTCTTGACTTGTTGCATGGTTTTTGCTTGTGTCTCTATTTTTATAACAGGCAACTCATTCAATTATCTCCTAATGAGGATGCAGCTCCAAAACTTAGTTTTATGGTTCGAGGCCGGCTGATAGTAAGACTTCCGAACTATGAGGCGGTTCTCAGAGAGGCTCATTCCATCAACAGCTGTAAAATAGCAGATTAATAACTGTGTCATAATGCGCATGAACAGCGTCCCTGTTTGTACTTTTGATGTGAATTATGGAGGCCACATATGGAGTCTTTTGTTAATGTTTAGGGTTAATTAATAGTATTGAGGCAATTTCTTGGACTATTAGGTCATATCCTGAGTACTATCTGTGTTTTGAGTTAAGTTCTTTAACCATTTTAAAAAACGACTAAAGTACCAAAAATTATATAATACCAAAAACCATCACCATCACCAAGTTCTCTAAATCTATCTTTAACTAACATCTGTGGCCTTCAAAGTAACTTTTCTTCTGTTGAGTCTTATCTTTTTCATTATTCATCAGACCTACTTGCTCTATGTGAGACTAATTTAAATTCAGCTGTCTCATCCTGTAATCATAGTGGTTTTGTTATTTCGTAAAGATTCTAATAGTCACAGTCTTTTATTGACATTTAAAAGAACCAATTGTCGAGAAACTAGGTTTGATTCTACAGGCTGTTAAATTATGTGCTTTACTGTATCACCTATTACGTGCTTTAATGTATCACCTATTATGTGCTTTACTGTATCACCTATTATGTGCTTTACTGTATCACCTATTCACCTGTATCATTACTGTATCACCTATTCACCTGTATCATTACTGTATCACCTATTCACCTGTATCATTACTGTATCACCTATTCACCTGTATCATTACTGTATCACCTATTCACCTGTATCATTACTGTATCACCTATTCACCTGTATCATTACTGTATCTCTTTGATCTAAATTGCACTTCTTTATCTCAAGAATCCTTTAGATAGTATTTTTGATCAACATCATTGTCGTAGGTGACTTTAATTCTCATTACACTGAATGGATTAGTTCTAGTTTCAATAACTCTGCAAGTGTTAAGACCCACAACATTTGCTTTTCTCATTTTCTAACACTAATAACCAAATTTCTAACACACTTTCCAAACAAACCGAATCATTTATCTTTTCTACTCGACTTATGTCTCGTTTCTGACCCTTTTCAGTGCTCAATTTTTTCGCATTCACCCTTAGGTACCTCTGATCACGGTTTTATCTCTCTAAAACTTCTATTTTAATCTTATTTATCATCAGTATCCCCTTTTATTTCATGTCTTACAACTACCTTAAAGCTGACTGGGACTCTTTCCGTAATTTTTTTCGTGATAGCTCTTGAAAAAAAATCTTTCTTCTTCTTGCTAACAAACCTGCTTGTTATAAAACTTCTTGGATTCATACTGAGATTTTTTTATTTCCTCTCAACATTTCCAAGTCAAGCCTTACTCTTCTCTATGGTTTTTCTTTCATTGTACTGCTGCAATTTCAAATCGTAACCATTACTTTTATATCTATTGTCAGAACAATTCTCCAGAAAATAAACATCTGGTTACTATTGCTAGAAATTTTTGTAAAAAAGTTTTGTCTAACGCCAAAGCCCGCTATTCTGAGGTCACAAAATTAATATTTTATCTCAAAAAGATTCCAGAGAATTCTGGAGAATCTTTAACACTGTCAATAATAACAAAACAGTGTCAATAATTTGTTATTCCTCTTCTCTTTTATGGTTCAGATTTTGTTAAAAACAAAGCTGAGTTGTTAACTATGAACATTTTATCAATCTTGTTTTTTGATTCCTTTAGCCATATCCTACTTTATTTAGCTAACAAACAGATTGTTCCATTGCTTCACATTCGAATCACTTCAGCTTCTGTATCTAAAATGTTTCCTACATAGACTCTTCCACAGCATATGGTCCAAACAACATACCTGTTATAGTCTTTCAGAAGTGTTTTCCAGAGCTATCGTCTATACCTTCAAAACTATTTAACAAGTGTTTGTCAGTGTGTTGTTTTCCATCCTGCTAGAAAGCGGCATCTGTTATCCCTATTTTCAAAAATTCTGGAAAGCAATATGACTCGTCTAATTACCGTCTCATTAGTCTTCTTTATATCATAAAGTATGTATACTCGGAGGGAAAGAGGAGGTCTGCAAATGGCGTATATGAGATCTGAGGGCAGTGGGTCAATTATAAAATAAAGGAGACACTAAGTTTAAAAAAATATCATAAAAAGTTAGATAAATAGGTTAAAAGCTTTTAAGGAGGTGGAGAATATTTAAAAAGTATATTGCAAAATGCAGGGACAGGGAGGTGTTGGACGAAATAAAAGCGTACGTACTATGTGGACGAACCCTAACCTGGTGGAAAATCGGCGAATAGCTAGCTATAATTGTAACAATAAAGACAGCGATTTGGCCACGGGGATTGCCAGCATTTTAAGTTAGCAAAAAGCTATCAGTATTTGTAAAGATTTGGCTACGAGGACAATTAGTATAATAAAGCAATCACAACTCAGAATATTGCTCACTTTTTTTTATTAAAGTAAACCGTTAAAATTAAGGAAAAACTTCTTTCCATGTAATACATTTTTATCATCTTGCCAATATCTTTTTTTCATCAACTTATTGTCATTAATAACAAAGTTTTTACACTGCTGTTTGAAATTTATTCTTTTTCTTTTCTCATTTACATCTTCAGGAAACGTTTCGTCATTTAAATATTTTTTGATATCAAAGTAACTATTTTTGAACATCTTGAAAACATTGACAAAATTAAACCATATAAATTGTAAACTAAAAAATCAGTAAAATAATAATTAACCCAATTAAAGTTAAAATATTTCCCATTAATATTTTAATGTTATTATTATACCGCAAAGAAAGTTTGAACGGTCAAAAATTTCCGCGCAGTAAAATTTTAACGCAGTAATTTGAAAACGCTAAACCGGCATTGAATACCACTAAATAGTTAAATATTATCTTCTTGAAAAACTAGATTTTTATTTATCTGTTATTCCAATATGTGTAGCATTAAACGTGTTGGACCAAAAAAAAGAATAAATAATTTTATTTAATTTCCCAAGTTTATAGAGTAAAACCGGGTCAAACCAAACACTGATCGAAATTATCAAATAAAAACTAAACGGGTATAGCTATGAAATATCAAATATGGCTATCAAATACAAAATTATCTCCTCTATTCGAATTGATAAAATTATATGCCAATTTAAATCAGTTTCATTCAGTCTACTTAGTTAAGTTTTTCGCAAGTGACTAAGCGCCTATCTTTATCTAATTAGCTTAGTGTTAATTCCGGTTTAATTAAAAACGAACTAAAATGTTTTTTGCTAATATAATCATTTCTTACTCATTAAAAACCAACTATTATATTATTTCTCAATATAATCATCACTCGCTCAATTCAATTTAACTCACTTACTTTTACTAAAAAAACAAAAGCATACAAGGAAGATATACTAGCCACATTAACTGATATGAAAGAAAATAAATATCACTGAGAAAAACTCCACTCAAATATGGCGTTCCAGTCTCAACGCTCACAGATTGCAAAAATAACAATAACAAAGGCTTCCATGGTTCAGGTACAACAAAGATACTCTCAAATGAAACTGAAAAATTGATGGTGCATGTGTTCCAATTACTTGGTGACTATTATGGTTTAACCAGGAATGAAATCCTAGAATTTGTATGTGGTTATTTTAAACGCGAAAATTAATTGCACTCATTCAAAAATGGCAAGCCTGGTAAAGACTGGTTTAATGCCTGTACGAAGAGATGTTCGAAAGAAATTTCAACAAGAAAAGCACATAATTTAGCATCTGAAAGAGCCGCCTCTTGTACGCCAGAAATAATTGATCGTTATTTTAAATGCGTTGCCAAGCAATATCAACAGACTAGTATAACTTCTGGGTTGCATATTTGGAACAGTGATGAAACAGGTTTTTTGGGTGATCAAGGCAAAGCAACCATTATGTGTCGAAAAGGGACAAGACGTGTATTCAAACTTACTTGTTACAATGAAAAAATTTATTATACAATAAACAATTGATGCAACGTTGATGGGCATTTTGTACCTCTATTTATGATATACAAAGCCAAAAGAAAATTTCGTCCTGACTGGGCAAGATGTGGTCCAGTTAGCACCGAATATTCAATTTTAAAATCAGGTTGGATGGAGCACGATACCCGAAACTGAGCAAATTGGTGGTATTCATATTCAGTGACGGATCCAGGATTTTTTGGTGGGGATGGGGGGATGATGATACCAAAAGTGGTTAGCGTAACTTTTTTGGATCTAAATCTAAGCGTCTCTTCTTACTAGCTGCAAATCTATCAATCTATCTATGTCGTTTACTTCTAAAGAGATGGTATTATAAATAATGCCAAGCCAGTTAAACGCTCATTATTGGTCTAATTACGCAAAGGACTGGGACCCAGTTAATGTTAAAATATTTCCCAGTAATATTTTAATGTTGTTATTATACCGCGAAGAAAGTTTGAACGGTCAAAAATTTCCGCGCAGTAAAATTTTAACGCAGTAATTTGAAAACGCTAAACCGGCATTGAATACCACTAAATAGCTAAATATTCATGGCGCTAAAGCTCCGTTCAGCTATACATGTTGTGATTGGAATGGTAGAGAATATCCAAAGAAGTGTCTTGATGGTTGCCAATCTATAAAATAAAATTAACAGAGTAAGTTAATAAGCAACAGAGATTTAAACTGATATAGTATTTCTTTTTTATAAGTTATACCTATCAGGAATTAGATCTAAAGCTGCTGATAAAATTGAAGGATGGCTTTGCATATGCGAGCAAAACTCTTTCCACTCCGAATATTCATTATGAAAAGTTTTCTTGTCTAGATACCCAATTACAAAAGAAAACATTCTTACAGTTTCAACCACATCAGTCCAACTATGTTGAAAAATCACTGATAGTAACAGAGCAGACATTTTCATCACGAGTTGCTGGTGGTTTGAAAACCGTGCATCCATAGATTGAATCACTGAATCTAGGTACGGAAACCAAATTGCTCTTTTAAAATATTGGCATGAATTTTCAGCAGGGATGTTGTTTCTATGCAATTGCCAACATGCGGGTTAGATGGGCACACAAATCACATAACTTCGGACGCGGTATTGCTGCGCAAAAAACACAATATAACCTTGATTTGTCTACCAGAGCATTCTTCACGTATTCTACAACCATTGGATAGAGGAATCTATTATCATGTCAAGCAAGTATGGAAAGAAATTCTTACAAAGTATTACAAAGACTCAAAATTTAAGAACTTAGATGAACAAAATTTTCCACCGCTTTAACTGCTGTACAAGTTGTATATGTTTTACACGCTTACATGCAATCACTTCTAGTACACTGGCTTACATGCAATCACTTCCAGTACACTGGCTTACATGCAATCACTTCCAGTACACTGGCTTACATGCAATCACTTCCAGTACACTGGCTTACATGCAATCGCTTCCAGTACACTGGCTTACATGCAATCGCTTCCAGTACACTGGCTTACATGCACTCGTTTCCAGTACACTGGCTTACATGCAATCGCTTCCAATACACTGGCTTACATGTAATCGCTTCCAGTACACTGGCTTACATGCAATCGCTGGCGTCCAGTACACTGGCTTACATGCAATCGCTGGCTTCCAGTACACTGGCTTACATGCAATCGCTGGCTTCCAGTACACTGGCTTATTTTCACTTAATAAAAACAACATAAATCATAAGGCATTAGCAATCACACAAACGTTAAACCACCTTCATTAACTTTAGCAGCCTCCGCAGCACCTACACCATTTTGCTCAGACACAGCTTTATCATCTTCAACAGCCACCGCAACACCTACTCCAACTAACACACCGATTACCATCTCTCTCAACTACACCAGCTTCAAGTTTTGATAGGCATCAAGCATATGTTAAGCGTTGCAAAAAAAGTTTGAAAAAACATTGAGATAAAGTGGAAACAGTTTTTTCACAAATCAATTTCTGCCTTGAAAAAACTGCTTCCGCTCTATCTTTTATCAGAATGTCGCCTAAAACCGCACAATTTTTTTTTCTTTATATTTAATAATTTCGATAATTTTTTTATTATTTTTTTAACATATATTTATATTATCTTATGTAGTTTTTTATTACCTATCTAATAAAAAAAAAAAAGAAATAAAAAAAAGTTATTTAACTTTAAGTGTGCGGTTTGACCCGGTTTTACTCTACAACTTATTGTAAATAGTGATCTATTCTCTAGGGTCTAGGCTTAATTTATATTATAAGTAAAGTTAAAATAAGATTAAATAAGACAAAAATAAGATGCATTAAAAACTCAGAGAGCTATATTTATAAAAACATTTGTAATATTTACTACAAGTGCAAACATATTTAAATTTGCATTTTTAAAAATTTACAATAAATTTTGACAATGGATTAATAGTTGAAAATACGATAAACGTAAAAAAGAAAAACGGAAGCAAAAATGAAAATCTTTGCGCATATACGGACTCAAAGCCGATACAGTAAATAAAAGCAAACAATTATTTTAACTTATGCTTCAAACCCCTCATAACTTTTTATTAATATTTGTTTTGAGCCAATGATATTGTATCGAACTTTTCTATTATACACCGCTTTGAACTGGTTGCTTGTCGTGATGAAGAACTTTATAGACTGTGTGCAGATATGTGATCATTGAAAGTTTGTCAATGTTACCTTTTGACATATCATCAGCATCGATAAGTGCGGGTACACCTGCATTCCTAAATTAACAATCTAACTTGCGAAAACTTATGAAAAACAAACCATAAATTTTCTTAAAAAATTCTAGATTAAAAATAAAAAATAACAGTTTTAAAAAACACTGATTCAATGTAACTAATAACTAAATAACTTTAATTGTGATAAAGTAACATATTAGTGAGTAATGTTCTATTAGTGGACTACAACGACCAGAAACTATAACTACACCGGCGGATATTTTGCTTTCAGAGTAAAAAGTAAATAAAGTTTATTAAGTTAAAAACTTGCGCTGTTTACTGTAAAACTGAGTGTAAAAAACGAGAAAAGCAAGTATAAAACGCAAGATTTTAGTGCTGAAAAAAACAACTACTTTTTAGGTTCCCAAAAATAATTCTTATTTAAGAAGAAAAAGGTATCTGTCAAAAATCATGGAAACCCAGTGAAAATTTGATTATTTGTGGAAACCCAGTGAAAATTCGATTATTTGTAAAAACCCAGTGAAAATTCGATTATTTGTGGAAACCCAGTGAAAATTTATGCTCAAATAGATTATATTTATAGAAAAAGATGAAACTCATTGCTTAAGTGATTGATGTTTATCTATTTGAAAACAACAGAAAAAGGCCATTAATACTGGAGTATACATTAACAAATTTTTTACTCAAATGTTAAACTGTATCAAGTGTTGGACAAGTTTAAACAAAATTGTATCAAGTTGAACTAATCAGTACAGCGAGACGGTTCTTAAACATCGAGGCAGAGAATGCAGACACCACATTATCCGAAAAAACTAAATCTTTGAACATTCATCAATATTCGTATGGACTTTTCAGTTGCTGTTTGGAGTTGCCAAGTACAATTCCATTCATACAAACAATAAAAAGCTGTGTGAAGATCTGACTGAGGCCAACGTACATTGTAGACAGAATATAATTTAACATCATCAGTAAAAGGTTTAAGTTTGACATCAAGCTTGTTTATAATGTGGCTAAAGTCCTATAACACTCCCCTGCGAAACACTGCTTGTTACAGATATAGCATTGGATGTAACATTGTTTAAATTTACCACCTATGATCTCATGTGCAGAAAATTAGTTATCCAATTCAGAATATTGCCAACTATTCCGTTAGTGGGTAATTTCTTTAGTAATTGGGGATGTGAAACTGAATCGAAAGCTTCTTAAAATCAAAATAAATAATATCTGCAGGAATAAAGCACTGAAGATTTAAAGTCCAGTCATGAAGACTTTCTAGAATATTAGTACAGGTACTACGTTTACGAATAAAACCATGCTCCTCCTTTGTGATTAGGTTATTGAGTAAGAAATAATTTATCAGTTTGTTATTAACGATTCTTTCCAATACACAACAACAAGTAAATGTCAAGGAGAAGGGTTTACAATTACTTGGGTTAAAACTGGTCCCTTTTTGTGAATTGGAATAACGCTTGTTATTTTCCAGTCTAATGGTAAAGCACCATCTTTAAATGAGGTATCAAATAAATGGCTTAAGGGAACCATAAAACTATTGGCACAATTCTTTAGGAAAACATTGGGAATGCCATGTAGACCAGTAGATGTGGTGGGTTTAAGTGCTGTCAGTGCTTTTTTGACAGTAGAAGGAGAGAAGTTAATAGACGACAGAAAAGTTTAATGTAGGTTAACACGATCCATAAATTTTGGTGATTTCTATGCGATTGCTTTGATATTTATCAACTTTTTAACATAATGAGGATAGTGTATTTTATGTGATAATTTATGCTATTCACTGACTCTCACTTTAGGTGCATGTTGTATAATAATGTCATTAAGTAGAAAAAGTAGTAGAAAAAGTATGCCAACAAGCTTCAATATTAAAACATGTTTGAAAGATAAAAGTCCAATCTATCAATTTCAGATATTTATTGATAGCTTGGTAATCTTCATTTTTCCAACAGTAAAACTGTTGAACTGGAATTTGATCTTTATTATAAAAGCAGCTCAAATTAGAAGTGAATTTCATTATGATCACTAGCACCAATTGGTGGTTCAATACAGAGATTACTGATAAATGAAGAGGAAGAACTCAAAATAAGATCTAAGATGCTATTTTTTCGAGTTGGTTGATCAACATGCTGAGTGAGACTATATCTGTTTATAAAATGTGACAAAGAGTTATGCATAACACTATCTGGACCATGATAATAGTGCTAATCTATATCAGGTAAGTTAAAATCTCCTAGTGTGACCGCATTTTTTTGATGGAACACAATATAGAGAAACATTTTATACTTTCAATATAGTCATTAGCTTCTTTACCAAAACCTCCACTGCAATAATAACCTATGATTCTGAACAACTGACCATTAAGGTTTAAATCAGCAAAAGCAATTTCTAACTCATGAAACTCTGGTGGTAATCAACTTTTGTAAATTGTATAAAACTACAAAAAAATATTGCTACTCCACCATCTTTACTATTTCTGTCACAGCAAAGTAGAAAACCTAGAACATATTGGACTTAAGGCAAATTTTTATATATCTTAGGTAAATTTTTATATCTATCTAGTTGACTTGATATGAATTACTATCTTTTTGCGAGTTTTAATTCACATTCATTTCTAAATCTGTAATAGTATTGTGAATCTTTATTAGCTTCATTCAATTTAGCATGTTCTTCTCTAAAAGCTTTCATTTTAAGTCTTTTAGCTTGTGCTATGTCTGCATAAATTTTATTATTTTTTGGTGAATTTTGAAGGGTTTTGGCTGTTTTTAGTACAGCATTTCTTTCTTTTTTGTGGGTTAAAACAATAATTACTGGTGGTGGCTTGTCTGATTTTGTATTTAGTTTGAAAATATGTTGGATAGTTTCTTTAGCATTAATCTGATTAAATATATTTTATATCCCTAATGTATCTTCTTCTCTGGCTACATTATCTTGTTTTTAGAGGTATTGAATCTAAAGACTATTAAATTCTTTTGTCTTAGGTCTCTACTTTGAGATTCTTTAACAAAAACATTGAGAAAATGTACTACATCAGACCATGCATAATTATTTGAATTTAGTATGTAGCATGTATGTACTACATCAGACCATGCACAATTATTTGAATTTAGTATGTAGCATGTATGTACTGCTTCAATAAAATTAAAAAAACTTCGGATAAATATTTTCATGGTTTTAGTCAAGTTTTTTGTTATTATACATTATCAATTGCATATTAACTTTAATAATCAAAATACTAAACTAAATATAGAACAACTAATGCTAAAACTAGCAGTTTTAGCATTAGATTAAGTTAGGGTGAAATTTAGTTTCACCACTAAATATAAACAGAACAATAGTATATATAAATTCAGTAATGCTATTAATGTATATACTTATAAGATGGCATATGATATACATCCTGTTATTTTTTTTTTTTTTTAAAAACTTACTATTAAAAAGTCAAAACACAAAAAAATCTTTTTCCTATTAAAAAAAGATTTAATATTTTAAATTAAATCAAAATTCTTTTTTCTTTGTTGAAATTTTTATTAAAAAAATCTATTTTACTTAGAGGTTATGCTATGTCATTTAAAAGATATGCCATGCTAGCCACTATACGACGCTAGTCACTATGCCATGCAAGTCAAGTATGGACAACAACAACAGTAGTGAAAATGTGAGTTTTTTTTTTTTTTTGAACAAGACTAATGTCTATGTTTCTGCACTTGTGTGGTTTCGACAGGTTCCCATAACACTATTTTCTAATTTAATATAATTAATTATGAATGATTATGATTATGAACGAGTTATAACAATTTTTTTGAAACCAAAGATTTTACTACCACTAGAAAGCCTTGTTTTACTACCACTAGAAAGCTTTGTTTTACTACCACTAGAAAGCCTTGTTTTACTACCACTAGAAAGCTTTGTTTTACTACCACTAGAAAGCCTTGTTTTACTACCACTAGAAAGCCTTGTTTTACTACCACTAGAAAGCTTTGTTTTACTACCACTAGAAAGCCTTGTTTTACTACCACTAGAAAGCTTTGTTTTACTACCACTAGAAAGCCTTGTTTTACTACCACTAGAAAGCCTTGTTTTACTACCACTAGAAAGCCTTGTTTTACTACCACTAGAAAGCCTTGTTTTACTACCACTAGAAAGCCTTGTTTTACTACCACTAGAAAGCCTTGTTTTACTACCACTAGAAAGCCTTGTTTTACTACCACTAGAAAGCCTTGTTTTACTACCACTAGAAAGCTTTGTTTTACTACCACTAGAAAGCCTTGTTTTACTACCACTAGAAAGCCTTGTTTTACTACCACTAGAAAGCTTTGTTTTACTACCACTAGAAAGCCTTGTTTTACTACCACTAGAAAGCTTTGTTTTACTACCACTAGAAAGCCTTGTTTTACTACCACTAGAAAGCCTTGTTTTACTACCACTAGAAAGCCTTGTTTTACTACCACTAGAAAGCCTTGTTTTACTACCACTAGAAAGCCTTGTTTTACTACCACTAGAAAGCCTTGTTTTACTACCACTAGAAAGCCTTGTTTTACTACCACTAGAAAGCCTTGTTTTACTACCACTAGAAAGCCTTGTTTTACTACCACTAGAAAGCCTTGTTTTACTACCACTAGAAAGCCTTGTTTTACTACCACTAGAAAGCCTTGTTTTACTACCACTAGAAAGCCTTGTTTTACTACCACTAGAAAGCCTTGTTTTACTACCACTAGAAAGCCTTGTTTTACTACCACTAGAAAGCTTTGTTTTACTACCACTAGAAAGCCTTGTTTTACTACCACTAGAAAGCCTTGTTTTACTACCACTAGAAAGCTTTGTTTTACTACCACTAGAAAGCCTTGTTTTACTACCACTAGAAAGCCTTGTTTTACTACCACTAGAAAGCTTTGTTTTACTACCACTAGAAAGCCTTGTTTTACTACCACTAGAAAGCCTTGTTTTACTACCACTAGAAAGCCTTGTTTTACTACCACTAGAAAGCTTTGTTTTACTACCACTAGAAAGCCTTGTTTTACTACCACTAGAAAGCCTTGTTTTACTACCACTAGAAAGCCTTGTTTTACTACCACTAGAAAGCCTTGTTTTACTACCACTAGAAAGCCTTGTTTTACTACCACTAGAAAGCCTTGTTTTACTACCACTAGAAAGCCTTGTTTTACTACCACTAGAAAGCCTTGTTTTACTACCACTAGAAAGCCTTGTTTTACTACCACTAGAAAGCCTTGTTTTACTACCACTAGAAAGCCTTGTTTTACTACCACTAGAAAGCTTTGTTTTACTACCACTAGAAAGCCTTGTTTTACTACCACTAGAAAGCCTTGTTTTACTACCACTAGAAAGCTTTGTTTTACTACCACTAGAAAGCCTTGTTTTACTACCACTAGAAAGCCTTGTTTTACTACCACTAGAAAGCTTTGTTTTACTACCACTAGAAAGCCTTGTTTTACTACCACTAGAAAGCCTTGTTTTACTACCACTAGAAAGCCTTGTTTTACTACCACTAGAAAGCCTTGTTTTACTACCACTAGAAAGCTTTGTTTTACTACCACTAGAAAGCTTTGTTTTACTACCACTAGAAAGCCTTGTTTTACTACCACTAGAAAGCCTTGTTTTACTACCACTAGAAAGCTTTGTTTTACTACCACTAGAAAGCCTTGTTTTACTACCACTAGAAAGCCTTGTTTTACTACCACTAGAAAGCCTTGTTTTACTACCACTAGAAAGCCTTGTTTTACTACCACTAGAAAGCCTTGTTTTACTACCACTAGAAAGCCTTGTTTTACTACCACTAGAAAGCTTTGTTTTACTACCACTAGAAAGCCTTGTTTTACTACCACTAGAAAGCCTTGTTTTACTACCACTAGAAAGCTTTGTTTTACTACCACTAGAAAGCCTTGTTTTACTACCACTAGAAAGCCTTGTTTTACTACCACTAGAAAGCTTTGTTTTACTACCACTAGAAAGCCTTGTTTTACTACCACTAGAAAGCCTTGTTTTACTACCACTAGAAAGCCTTGTTTTACTACCACTAGAAAGCCTTGTTTTACTACCACTAGAAAGCCTTGTTTTACTACCACTAGAAAGCCTTGTTTTACTACCACTAGAAAGCCTTGTTTTACTACCACTAGAAAGCCTTGTTTTACTACCACTAGAAAGCCTTGTTTTACTACCACTAGAAAGCTTTGTTTTACTACCACTAGAAAGCCTTGTTTTACTACCACTAGAAAGCCTTGTTTTACTACCACTAGAAAGCTTTGTTTTACTACCACTAGAAAGCCTTGTTTTACTACCACTAGAAAGCCTTGTTTTACTACCACTAGAAAGCTTTGTTTTACTACCACTAGAAAGCCTTGTTTTACTACCACTAGAAAGCCTTGTTTTACTACCACTAGAAAGCCTTGTTTTACTACCACTAGAAAGCTTTGTTTTACTACCACTAGAAAGCCTTGTTTTACTACCACTAGAAAGCCTTGTTTTACTACCACTAGAAAGCTTTGTTTTACTACCACTAGAAAGCCTTGTTTTACTACCACTAGAAAGCCTTGTTTTACTACCACTAGAAAGCCTTGTTTTACTACCACTAGAAAGCTTTGTTTTACTACCACTAGAAAGCCTTGTTTTACTACCACTAGAAAGCCTTGTTTTACTACCACTAGAAAGCTTTGTTTTACTACCACTAGAAAGCCTTGTTTTACTACCACTAGAAAGCCTTGTTTTACTACCACTAGAAAGCCTTGTTTTACTACCACTAGAAAGCTTTGTTTTACTACCACTAGAAAGCCTTGTTTTACTACCACTAGAAAGCCTTGTTTTACTACCACTAGAAAGCTTTGTTTTACTACCACTAGAAAGCCTTGTTTTACTACCACTAGAAAGCCTTGTTTTACTACCACTAGAAAGCCTTGTTTTACTACCACTAGGAAGCCTTGTTTTACTACCACTAGAAAGCCTTGTTTTACTACCACTAGGAAGCCTTGTTTTACTACCACTAGAAAGCCTTGTTTTACTACCACTAGAAAGCTTTGTTTTACTACCACTAGAAAGCCTTGTTTTACTACCACTAGAAAGCCTTGTTTTACTACCACTAGAAAGCCTTGTTTTACTACCACTAGGAAGCCTTGTTTTACTACCACTAGAAAGCCTTGTTTTACTACCACTAGGAAGCCTTGTTTTACTACCACTAGAAAGCCTTGTTTTACTACCACTAGAAAGCCTTGTTTTACTACCACTAGAAAGCCTTGTTTTACTACCACTAGAAAGCCTTGTTTTACTACCACTAGAAAGCCTTGTTTTACTACCACTAGAAAGCCTTGTTTTACTACCACTAGGAAGCCTTGTTTTACTACCACTAGAAAGCCTTGTTTTACTACCACTAGAAAGCCTTGTTTTACTACCACTAGAAAGCCTTGTTTTACTACCACTAGGAAGCCTTGTTTTACTACCACTAGGAAGCCTTGTTTTACTACCACTAGGAAGCCTTGTTTTACTACCACTAGAAAGCCTTGTTTTACTACCACTAGAAAGCCTTGTTTTACTACCACTAGAAAGCCTTGTTCTACCACCACTAGGAGAATTGTGCTACGAGGTTTACAAACCCTTCCCTAAAAATGTTTGGGGGAAGATTTTTAATCTAAGACACTTGAAAAAATTAAAAAAAGAAATTAAAAAAAAAACTTTTTTAAAGCAAATTTTTTTTCCTTTTGACTTAATAAAATTTTAACTCCAAATAATTTGAGACAGTACCTACCTTTTTGTACCTGCCTTTTTTTTTTACTAATAATTATGGCACAACAGAATAATTATAATAATAAACTAAAATATGTAACTTACTTTGCTGCTTTTATTGCCATGTCAAAATTATGTCTGCGGTCAGTGGGGCTGACATCAAGTGGATTAACAGCTTCATCACCAAGTAAATAATTCATAAGTGCACATAAAGCTATTCCATCTTCCCAACTTGTGGTATAGTTGGTCACATTCACTGCCTTATAATGTGAAAAATAATTTTTAAATGAAACCATCAAATATTAAAACAACAAATTTAGACATACCGGATATTGGTTGACTCTTCTAGTTATCCATTGTAAGAGTTTATCAATATTACTACTTGCTCTGTTCAATGCTTTATTTCCTTCTGGTTTTTTCACACTATAAAAAAGTGTTTTACCAATATTACTATTAGTTCTGTTCAATGCTTAATTTTCTTACACTTTTTTCACATGATAAAAAATAGTTTTATCAGGTCAGTTTTAATAAGTTTGATTTGCTGTATGTATAGTACCATGTGTTTCACTAAACATTAATTAAACTCTAAAAAACAAAAGTTTGTTTGAGAAGCAACCATAGTGCTATTCGTAGAAAAAAGAAAAATATGGATACTTCCAACAATGAAAAAGAGGCTCAAACTAGGCAGCTAGAGAAGGTCATACAATTTTTAGAACTTGTCTAATAGAGGAAGAGTATGATTTAAAAACCAGCCAGTGATTTGATTCGTGATTTAACAGCAGTAATTCATAAAGGATAAAAGATTTGAAATCGAGAGGTTGAGAATGGAATCAGATGGAGTCATTTAAATGGCATGCTCAATATAAAACAACCTCAGCAGATGATAATTTTGCTATGCATAAGATAAATGATTTCCATAAGAGATCTGAACTGAAAAACAATTTAGAAAGGCTTAATGTCTTTTTTAACAACTAAAAGGAAAAACAAGGTAGAGGAATCATTGATTACATTCATCAAAAAAAAACACTGTAATAAGCAATAATAATACAAATTATATAAATAACAATTTTAGATATGCTTTAGAAGCCAACCTTTTACTCTTATTATTCTACAAATGCTATCATGACCTAGCGTTCTATCATGATCGTGGTCTAGCTAACTTTCTTGGTCTAATAAGCTTTCCTTTTTTTAATTCTAGTATTATTAAAACATAGATGAACATGCGATCTTTAATCTAACGTCAATGTCAAATAATATACAAATAACAAAAATAACATAACAACAAAATAAATAACATAATAAAAAAATTGCTAGATGTAATTAAAACTTAAATAAAAATTAATACATGAGATTCAGGAAAACTTATATAAGAGACAACAAGAAATTAATGCCTACCTTGAGAGACAACAAGAAATTAAATATCACTATTAGCACAATAAAAAAGATTTTTAAAAACTTTGAATCACAAAGTAAAAACTTTGTAACCCACACAAAAAACTTTACTTGTTTACTTGTAATTGCATTTAGGTAATGTTGAGAAATATGAAGAAACCTATTTTATGATACAAACAAAAAGGAACTCCTGCAATGGAGAAATAACTTATCAATCAAATGAAAACTTTTATGTCAAGCATAAAAATAAAGATAACTATGATCTGAAAGTGCATGTTTGACCAAGGACGAAGTTTTGACCAAGGGAGTAAAATCAATATTAGAATAAGTTAGATGGGTATTAAATAAGATCAACCAAGATCACAAGTGAATATGTATTTAGACCTGATTTATTTTTATTTCATTATACTAAATCAGTCAAAACAACCAAATGTTCAAGCACTAAAACATATGTTTTTAACATATCCAGAATATATGACAGAAGCTTATCCTATTGGGTATGTTTGAGCAATAATAAAGAGAAATGTAGATAAATAGTTTATATTGTTTAAGAAACTGGAAACCAAGGTCAGATATTGCCTGATAAAATTAGATGTCAAGATAGTAAAAATAACATCAAAAACACACAAAAGACCAAATATGCTGTTACGTAGCTAAAGGTCCTATTTTTTTTAATTCTTTTTTTTAAATAAAATTATGTAAAAAATACTAATTTTTATGTAACATAAAGTTATAAAGATAAAATAACAATAATAACAACTAAAATACTTGTCTTGTAGTTTAAAAATGTTAGTCTTGCTGTGCTTTGTATTTGTGTTATTGTTTTTAGTATCACCCTGTTTTTGTTGAAGAAGCATTGAGCGAAAGTCTGAAAATAAATAAAAGAAATAACACAACAAGCAGAAATTAGCACTAAAGTAAATGGCTGAGCAAAGTTAAATAAAATAAATTCCATAAAATATATTAACAATACAATGAAAAACTTTTTCCAAATAAAACATAAAAAATTTAACTGTTATAAAATAGAATTATCAAAAAAAATAAACATTGACATAATATAAAATAAATATTTATAAAATTATGGTTTAATAAAGAAATTAGAATAAATCATTAAAACAAAAGCACTTTTAAAATAACAAAATTTCCCCCCTCTCACCACAAAAAAACCCCTCTCACCACAAAAAAAAACTGTCACAACCAAACAAATGATTATATGTAAACAAAAGATTATTATACTAATGTTATATGTTTATATTTTTGTTTATTATATCTATATATTAATGTTTTGATGATAATTAAATTTAATATATGTTATATATTAAATTTAATTACCATGCAATACTTGAAACTTTACCAATGATACAGTTCATCTTAAAACAATATTGAAACTGAGTTAGTTAAATTTATGACTTTAAGCAATTCTGTTACACAGCAAAAATTTTATGTTTTGATGCAAACCAAATCTCCTACTTTTCCATACAAAAGATATTGAGAACTTTTATGTTTACAGGAGGCTGAAGACTGAAGGTATTACTTAACACTAATCAATAGGGCATCACCCAACACTAATCAATAAGATGTTACCCAATACTAATCACTAGGGTATTACCAACACTAATCACTAGGGTATCACCCAACACTAATTACTAGGGTATCAACCAACACAAATCACTAGGGTAGGTCAAGTTAAGAGTTATAAGCTTCGCATGATTTTTTTTATAATTTTTGTTACAATATATAATTTATAATATATAACTCATAAGTTTTGCAATATTTTTTTTTTACTTTAATGAAGTTTAAGTTTATTTAAAAAAAAATGCAGAGAAAAAAACTGTATTTTTAAATATATTTAGACTAACAAATTAAATAAAATGTAAAGAAGTAATCAAAACTTCTAGAAAACTGGATTTTTTTATATCAGTTTTTGCTTTTACAATCTAAATAATAAAAATTTCAAGTGTAAACAAAATATTAAATCTGATGCTCATAATATATACACATGCAGCACACAAAAAAAACCACTCATATTTTATGCACACTTAGCCCATATATTTATATTCTATGTACACCTAGTCCATATATTTATATTCTATGTACAACTAGCCCAGATGTGCTCATATATATCTATTGTAGCGTATATAAATATACATTTGATACCAAAACTTGAATCTAAGATGCATGTTGTACCAAACTTAGATGTTGCTTTGTTTTATTTACCACAAGTTATTTTTTGGATTTTTTCATGAGCACCTATAGTGAAATCTTGTCTAGTTTAATTAATCCTAATCTCTTCATGTTTACATCTTCAGTGAAATCTTGTCTCTAATTAATCCCAATCTCTTCATGTTACCCATTTTACCCTTATTAAGCTTTTCCGCATCTGCTCCTACATTTTTTTCCAGAAAATTCTTAAATGTTTATTTATGCTTGAAAGAGAGTCATATACTCAGAGGTTCGAACAATGAACACTTGCCTCTCCAATAGTGATAGTTTCACAAATAATTATTCTTATAATACTTTTCAATAGATTCATTGCCATTAAATAATGAGTTTTAGTTTCATGAAAACTTTCATTCTCTTTAAACTCTGATAAAATGTTTGAGTTATAATTCATTGCTGTTGAAATTTAACTTTAATAAATACAGTGAAATTTTGTTAGAGGTATGTTTTATCATCTTACCCTTAACCATTATTAAATTGAACTTTTCAGCCTAATGTTGGAAGCACACCATATTTTTATTTTCAAAAAAATATTTTTTCTCTTAGAATTGTAATTACCCATTTAAACAATTATTTTTACCTTTTTTGATAAATAATAAAATGATAATTAATTCTCATTATTTTTTGTCACAGTTGACAACGATGACAACAAATAGGCAACAATGAAAAGAACACTTTAGGGGTATTATGTAGTTATAATAAATGAGAAAGGTAGAGATAAAGATGAGCAGAAATGTCCCACACTTGTTTTCTACAGTAAAAAATTTTTTAATTTACAAACAATTTTCAATTCTTGTTGATCTTCTATTTAACAAGAGAACTTAGTGTCTTTAGTTTTTGTGTTCATTAATGTTTTTTTTGAGATTTCTCATAAGACTAGAAAATGATAGTTTAGTTAAATATGAAAATATCAGCAGTGTTCCTTCTTTTGAAATTTCTCACTACAAATAGAAAATGATCAATTGATAGCTTAAATGAGAGTAAAATTTGAATCAGCAATAGCCTCCTATTATACTCACTCATAGAAAAAATTTATTACTACTAATTTTTAAATACTATGATTTTTTTTTCTTTCTAGTAGTAGTAGTTATAGCAAAATACCTGCTGTTAATATCCATAAATTGCTGTCAAGCTAACAAAAGAACAGGGATTATCCCTGATAGAAAGATAGAAGGCATTTTAACAATAAAAACAGCAACAAATCATATACAGGGATCAATAATTATAAAAATAACATATTTCATTTCTTGTAAAAGTGCACAAAAGTAAGAGTTAAACACATAAAAAATAGAAAATTTACTAAAAGGTTCAAGTTAAATTCAAGCTGCAGAGCTGATCTAGAAAACAACATTCAAACTCATTTAATGCCATTTATCAGAGTGTGAACAGTCACATGAATTAGGTTTTAGTCACATGAATATAGCCATATTGCTAAATAAAATAAAAAACTACTATCAAACTTGTATCAGCACTAATTTTTATCAAGTTAAATGACCTATATATCCAGACATGGAAACCAGGTATAGTTTCGACATATATATGTATGTATGTATTTATATATATATATATATATATATATATATATATATATATATATATATATATATATATATATATATATATATATATATATATATATATATATATATATATATATATATACTTAAGTGAAAATATAACCATAGCAACTTATCTAAGTTCTATTTTCAATTTGAAGTATCAATATTAAAAAATTTTACATAGAATATTTTGGTTAGTGTTTTAACACACTTTATATGACTACTTGTTAATCTTACACAAGAACAAGTATTACAAAGTTGAAAAATATAAAAACAATCTGACAATTTTATGAGTTAAAATATTGTATTAGAAGAAAGGTTACAAAATTTTAAAAATGAAAAAAAACAAAAAACAAATGTTATGAAATGAATACAAATTACAAACAAATAAAGAATGTCATTTTATGTTTACTCAATAACTTGTGTTAATCAAAAAAATGTTTTTTATAATTTTTATATCTTATCTATACTTTTCAGTCTTTTTTTTACTTTTTAATCAATTTAAATTTCTGTAACATATGAAAATAAAAAATTGTTTTATGCAAAATATAAACAATATTATTTAAAAAGTAAAATATAATATAGAAAAATATACTAACCTTTCATTGCATTGGGTGCAAGAACAGCTGCTTGATCATTGCTGTTAGCTGTCAGAGAAATTGTGGAACCAGTTGACGTTTTTAAACAAATGCTTACATCATTTGTAAGCGAAAAAGAACTTTTACTTTCAGCTGAGGTTTTGCTTTGATTGTTCATGTTATTAGTGTTTATATGATTGTTGGTACTCTTTGATTGAAAAGCATCAGATGGATTTTTTTTGTCTTGATTAAAATTTGATGAATTCCTCGTAAGATCTCCAAAAGTTTTGTTATTTGCATTGTTTTGTAATTTATTTTGCTGAAGATCCCCTATTTTATTACCTGTTAATTTTCTTTCCATCTTCTCTTTTTCATGTGAGATTTTTGACTTTAAACAGTCGAATTTGTTAGTCTCTTTCTTCTCTAACTCTATTTTATTTTTAGAAGCAGTTTCTTCACCCTTTTTAAAAATGTTTGCTTTCGAGATTGTTTTAAGTACTACACCAGGTATTTTCTTATCGTCTTTAAGTTTTTCATTTTTTTCTTTTAAATATTTTGATTCTTCACTTTTTCCATTATTTTTAGAATTTAAATTGGAATTGTTGTATAAAATAATATTATTGTTACTATCTGGTTCATCTAAACTTTGCTCATCCAAGTTATTGGAAGTTATTGCATCAATATTTGGTTCAATTGTTTTAGTAACAGAAAAATCAATATGCTTAGTTATATTTTCAACCTCTTGACCAGCAGCGTTACGCGATTTAGTGACTTCAACAGATTCAGTGACTTCATAAGACTCAGTGACTTCAAGAGATTTTGAGAGATCAGTGGAATTAGAAACTTCTATGGTTTTAGTGACTTCTTGAGATTTAGTGACTTCAAGAGATTTAGTGACTTCAAGAGAATTAGTGATCTCAACAGATTTTGTGATCTCATGCGATTTCGTGACTTCGTGTGATTTTGATATTTCACAGGGTTTAATGACTTCAACAGTACTATTTGCTTTATTTGCTACTGTCAATATTTTATTAATATTTAAACTTTGTGACTTTTGCACTGTAAGTTTAGTACTGTTATCAAGCTTGTTGTTTTCAACTTTGTTGAACAACTTCCCAGGTTGAGAATTTTCAAATTTTGCTACTTGATTTAATTTTCCATCAGCAAAAGGTTGTGACTTTTTAATATCAGCTGACCATCTATTTTTTGAATCACTAAGTGGCTTACGTTCAATGTTATTTTGCACGACAGAAATAGGTCTTTTTGATTCTACTCGTCCAAAATCATTTTTTATTAGTTCACTTTTTGGTCGCACCCAGGATTCTAAACCAGATTCTTTTTTGGTTTGAAAGACATTTTTATTTTTCAATGTTTCATTTACCTTTTTCTCAATTGTTACTTTATGGTCACTAACTACTGTTTCTTTACAATCACTATTTAAGATTTCTTTAACATCTTCAGATACCTTTGTTTTACCTGAATGTTTATAGTCTTTGCAATCTTCATTTACGATAGACTCACCAACAAAATTCTCTTCTTTAATTATGTTATTTACTTCCTCATTTTTACTAATTTTTGCTTCATTGCTGTTAATTACATCACCTTTTATTAAATCATCTTTTATTGTAATTCCTTTCTTGTTTTCACATTCCGCTTTTTTCTCTCCACTTATTTTCTCTTTATTTTCTTTTTCTTTAATATTTAATTCTTTTTCATTTTGTCTTGGTTTCCTTCCTTTCTCATTTTCATTAAGTTTTATGATTTGCTCATTATTTTGTTTGGTTTTTAAAAAAATATCTTCATGATTGTTTAAACTATTAGAAGAAGTTTCTAATTGTTTATCTTTAAAAAGAGTTTCATTAATGTTTTTTGAGTTTCTATTTGATTTGGTTTTTAAAATTTGAGGTTCTGACTCTTTTGAATCTAAACTTTTACCTTCTATATTTTCATTGTTTTTTGGGTTTTGTTCATTTTGTGTTTTGTTGTCATAATTTCTGTCATTATCACTCTAAAAGTAAATATATTTAAATAAAAATATGTTTTTGTTTTTTTATTTAAAATATGTAAAATATAATAACACAGATAAAATTTAAAGAATCATTTTTATCTAAATCTAAAAACCTTTAAAATGTTATTTAATAACTTTATTGAAAAAGCACACTGCTTACATAATTATGTAAGCAGTGTGCTTTTTGAATTAGATAATTAAAAAATCATCAAATTGTTTGTTTAAAAACTCAAAGATCAAAAAATTATTTTAGATTTTATATGATTTGCTTAAAAGATAAGCAAGTTAAGCAAAGCAAAAAGATAAACAAATTGAGTTTAGCTTAACTTTTAAGCTTTTACATAAAAACGAACAAGCATTACTTAATTTTAAATTTGTTAAAGTTAAATTCGTTATGACAATAAAAGATAATTTAGTTTAATAAAATAAAAAATTATTAAACAATTTTAAGTTGTAGACAAATATAAGGGAATTTTTGAAAAATATATAAAACTTCTTTTTGAGGGTTTAAATGATTAATGAAGATCCAGTTTTGAAAAATGTGCTTTAAAGACATGGCTTTAAATAAAATCAATTCATTGATACTACAGTTGCAATTTAACTTAACTCAACAACAACAACAACAACAACAACAACGACAACAACAACAACAACGACAACAACAACAATAACAAGCTATTTACTTTCCGTAAATCCTTTTTACAATAGTTTTGATAACAATGATAATAACAATAACAATAATAATAGTAAAAATAATAACAATATATTATTATAATATAAGATAAAAAAAATACAAATTATAGTAATAGTAATAATAAGTATGTTTACAATAATTACAATGAAAAAATAATAATAACTAATATTAATATAATAATAAGTTAATGATTTATTAGGATGGTGTCACTTATACAGAAATCTGATCAAAAGAGTGACACCAATTTTGAATATAATATAAGTAATAATAAGCAAAGACACGCACTGAAACACATGGAAAGTAAACACACAGACCAAAACACTCAAAATATACATCAAAACAAACATGTAGAAATCAATTTGCAGGTTTTAATAAAAAAAAAAAAAAAAAAAAAAAAAAAAAAAAAAGTGCTAATGATAATTGTAGTAATTACGAAAAGAAAATTAAATATAATATTTTAATTGTAAGGATAATAATGCCTAAAAGTTAGAATAAAAAGTTTTTCAGAATTTTTTTAAATTAATATTGTTTAAGATGGAGTAAAGGTATTTTAAAATATTTTTGGTCTAATTCAAAATTCATTCAAGGCTCCTGTTCCATTCACAGACGCACTGATAAACAATAGAATGTTTACCATACTTCTGGGTTTTAAAAGATGGTACATTTAGTTTTCCATTGTGTATATTTCTAGTCGAGTAGGAATGTAATAGTCTACTTTCTGTGAACCAGTTTGTGATAGGAGATGGTATGTTTTTATTAAAGGAGTCAAAAACAAATAGAAGATTAGCATACTTTATTAGCGCTGGAAATGTTGGAATGAAAAGTTTTTTGAAGGACTTCGATGTATCTGATTTAATTGGTTGGAAGTTTATTAATCTGATGGATTGACGCTGAGACGATAGCAACTTGTTAATGTAATAGTTTCCAACTTGACCCCAAACTTGACAACAATAGCTAAGATGAGATGAGAATAATGCATAGTAAAGATTCGTAATTGTTTATCCACATAATGACAAATTATTGAAAGCATACCGTTAGCTTCTTGCTTAGCTCATCAATTTGTAAGTTCTATGAAAGATTGCAGTCAATTAATACACCAAGATATTCAATAACTCTTGAAGGATATAGCTGTTTATTATTAATTTTGATTTTAGTTCAACATTTTTAAAGAAATTATTTTTTCTTGGAGATGAAAAAAAAATTAGTTTAGTTTTTTCGGTGTTGAGACGTATTAGGTTAGCATTTAACCAGTGAACTATACCTTTTAGATCTGAGTTAACATTTTTACATAAAGAATGATACAATTTGTTGATGTGCAAGAGATTTGAATTATAAGCAAATGGATGGACTGAAGAAAAGTGAACAGAATTGATTAGGTCGTTAACGTAGAATAAAAACAGGACCTAGACAGGACCTAGAACAGAACTTTAAGGACTTTAACACCACACAAACTGATTTATTACTAGAATTAAAACCATTAATACTTACAAATTGTTTTTGATCTATAAGATATGATCGAAACCAGTCATTTACAATACCGTGAATTCCATAATGTTTTAATTTAGAAATCAAAATCTATGGTCAACGGTATCAAAAGCTTTTTGTAAATCGATAAAAACACCACAAACGAAATGACCAATATCAAGAGCTTTCCTGATTTTTTCCGTTATATTTATTAATGCATGGCAAGTAGAATGTTTTGATCAAAAACCAAATTGAAAATCATTTAAACAATTAAATGAGTTTGGAAAAGAGTGCACTCTAGAAAACATAAATTTCTCAAGAAGCTTACTAATGTTAGATAAAAGAGTAATAGGTCTGTAGTTAGAGCATGAAAGTTTAGAGCCATTTTTAAATATTGGAATAACGCAAGATAATTTCAAAATATCAGGAAATGTTCCATTTATAAATGAGATATTAAATAGTTTAGAAAGAATATTTGAAAATTCGTAGCTAAAATCTATGAGAATATTTGTGGGAATGCTGTTTGGACATAATGATGTTTTTAGATTCAATTTAGATATAAGAGATGAAACTTCAGAAATATTTGTTGAAGATAATAATAAACTATGTAAATTTGGATGTTTAAGATATTTTTGATTGTTAATGTAATATGAATGAATATTGGATTTGAGTTTATGAGCAACATTTATAAAAAAAGTGTTAAATGATTCAGAGATTAGAGTCGGGTCAGTTATTTATGTATCATTTTCTTGCAAACAGTTGGGAGATGATTTATTCAAATTTTTTACATTAAAAAAAAGGAAAAACTATAAAATAGAAACTCGTAAAAAATATAGGTAATCCTGTTATCAACATAAAATTTAATTTCAGACATTTAGTTAAACTTATTTAGTTCTTTTGAAATCATGTAAACAGTTTTTTAATTGGTGAAACCCATGATTACCAGAGAAGATCCATTAAAGGTAGGATTTTATGTGGACCAAGAAAACAATTTGTTATAAAAACAACATAGAAATTCTCCTCTAAAGACAAGAGTATTTGTGAAAATATTTTTTTTTATTCTTATTAAATAATAGCAAATGTAACATATGGAAATGCAACATAAGAAGAGTTTCAGAAGTCAAACTAGGAGTTAAGGTAAAAAAACATATTATAGTTTATTATTATTTACATATTTTATCAGTTTACCTTATCATTATGATAATCTTTTACAGAATTACCAAGATCATTATTATTGTTTGAAGCTTTCTTTCTTTCTTTTTGTGTTTCTATTATTTCAAGTTCTACAGTTTTTGCTTTTAATGCCAGACGCTCCCGGAGAGTAAGTCTTACTGGTTGATAATCTTGGCTAAAAGGATATATATTGTTACAAATACAAAATGTAAGAAAAAAATTACCCCCTCCCTTTGTCAATCTTCCAGAGATCCCTTTTCTCCCCTCCTCCTATATAACTATGTCAATATTTAATAACACATTTTCCCCCCAAATAGCATTTAGATGGAAAAAAAATCCATATCTTTCGTTTAAGTAATTAAATTTATTAAAAATATAACATTGTTGATATCAACATTTTTTTAACATCAAACCTCCCTCCTGTTAACACTTGTCAAATATTTTCAGACTGTCCCTTAATTTAAGTCACCTGCCTGAATTTATATACCATCATTTTAAGGAAAATGTAAACTTTCTATTCTTATAACTTCTGAAAGCCAAGTAACTATTTGAAAAAGTTTCAAACATATTTTGAAATTTTAATTTAAGGAAATTATTTTGAAAAACTTTCTTTAAAAAATTATAATTTTTTAATTATGACTACACTGGGAATTTGTTTTTCAGAAGAAAAAAGTGTCTCAAAGTACCACAACTTTAAGCAAAATATTACAATTTGACATTAGTATAAACATTTAAAAGTTAATTAGTATGAACATTTAAAAGTTGTTGTATACCTGGAAATCACTTTATTTGAATTTCAAAAAATCCTGGATCATTATCCATTAGTTTTGAAATTCAAGTTTTTGTCAATAGTATATATATGTGTGTGTGTAAATATATATATATATATATATATATATATATATATATATATATATATATATATATATATATATATATATATATATATATATATATATATATATATATATATATATATATATATATATATATATATATATATACAAGGGCGGCGCGATAGGGGGGTGTGTGGGGGTATAATCATTGATGGGGGGGTATACCCCCCCTTCAATGATTTTTAGTCGGCAAACTGGACCCTTAGTCGGCAAATTGGACCTATAAATCGGCAAATGTCGTCATGACAGTCGGCAAATTTTAGAAAACGAGGACTTTTTTTTTTTTTTTTTTTTTTTAAGTCGGCAAAAGTTGTAATGGCACCCCCCCCCCCACGTGACACCTACTCGCGCCGGCCCTGTATATATATATATATATATATATATATATGCAGTGGCGGAACTACTGGACGCAGGACCCTGCGTTGCGGAGGGGCCTACCAGCTATAGGGTGCCCTCATATACTATCAATAATATTTATACTATAAAACTCTTTTCCGCAAAAAAAACATTCTTTTGGGGGGGGGCCTAAATTTTGAAGTTCCGCCAGTGTATATATATATATATATATATATATATATATATATATATATATATATATATATATATATATATATATATATATATATATATATATATATATATATATATATATATATATATATATATATATATATATATATATATATATATATATATATATATATATATATATATATATATATATATATATATATATATATATATATATATATATATGTGGCAAACTGGCCCCAAGGAGCAATGGGAGAATTCCCGGTGGGCTGGTATTTATTCAAAAAAACGTATTTTTTTAACACAAAATTTCAACAAAGATCTTAATCAGTGTCCTCAATTTAGTCCTTAATAACCCAGGGCTGGTATTTATTAAAAAAAATACATATAAGTAAATACAAAGATTATGTAAATAAATTCCAGCCTTTTGAAGAAAAAAACCTGTTATGCATATGTGAAGTTTTCTTATGATCTTTTCACAATCGAATCAGTATGCATGGTTGTAGATATTAATCAACTTCCTGGAAGTACAGCTTCTAAAAGTCAGTCATGTTGAGAAATCTGTTGATAACCTTGCCAAGTTATGGAGTGACTTTTACCAGCTACAATGTACTGATTACACTTTAAAAGTTATTTTCTATAAAACTTTTTATGAATCATGTTAGGGGCCATCCATTTTATGAATCATGTTAGGGGCCATCCATAAAGGACGTCACCATTTTTTAACCAATTTTTGACTCCCTCCCCCCCCCCACCTTTGCCACCAGTTGTCCTTTTTCCCTATACCCCTGGAAAAGGACGTCATAAAATCCTGACCCCCTCCCTATTTTTAACTCCAAAAAAATTTATTTCATTTTGCAATGATGTTTGAATCTGCTGCTACACCTTAGAAATATAAAATTAAAATTATCTCATACATTATCTTCTCAAAAACACATGTTTACGTAGTTTTCCATGTTAATTAAACTAAAATAAAAAATCTATAAAGTGACGTCCTTTTCTGACAACCTCCTCCCTCCCCTTGTCCTTTTTTGTCGTTTTTAACTCGACCCCCTCCCTCCATTTTGGATGAAGTCCTTTATGGATGGCCCCTTAAAACCGCTTTTTATCGTGGTTTCAGACTATATCTGTTTATAACAATAGTTGCGTAGGTTAATTTTGTCAATTTTTTTTGAGAATTAATTTTGATGGACATCTTGGGGCCCGAAAAGTCATAATACGCCACAAATACAAGTAAAACATGAACTTTTTTTTTTAACAATGATAAATGAAAAAGTGGCTCAGGTATAAAAGGATACGCGTCTACGTGTACAATATGTGGAGCTACTCCTACGAAAAATGAACGATTTGACTAAAGTGTCTGCTAGGGCCGAAAATGAGAGTTTGTATCAATTTGGAATGTCAATTAGCAGCCGTGGCGCAGTGGTAGCGCACTAGCCTCAAAAACGTAAGATCAGTGGTTCAAACCCCACCTCTGAGCAAGTTTTGCGACATCGGTTGGGAAGGAGGCGTGAACTTCCTATTAAATGCTCTTCCGCGGTGTTCTGTGATAAGACCGTAAGGACTTCTTGGGACACCTAAATCAATGAAAAAAAAAAAAGTTACATGCCTGGATTCGTTGTATGGAAATGGTATTACATATTTCCAACAACCTGCAAACATGATTAGCTAAAAGTGAAGAAGAAAAATGACAAAAGAAAGAGAAGAAGACCTTGGTACAAAAACGTTTTCGTGAGTAGCTAGATTTAATTGTTGACAAAAAACAACAACAAGTAATTGGTAAGGGATCGTTCATAAATTACGTAACGTATAATTTCACTAGAAACAAAACAAAAAAAGATCAAAAGTTTTCCCTCGCAGAGTCTTAATTTAAATAAATAATCAAAATAGAAAATTAAGTTAAATGAAACTCGCTGTGTAAAAGAGCCTAATATCTCCTATCTTGAAATATTTTTTGCGTTGCGTAATTTATAGACGATCCCTAATACCAATGATGGCAGTTCTCAGCATTAGAAACCGTACAGCAAAAAGGTCCAAGAACATGAGGAAGATTCTTTGAAGCTTTTGAAAGTCGACCTATAATTTATTCCCTAAAAACTCACAGTATAAAAATTGTTTTTAACAAACTGTTCTAAATATTTCTATTATAAGCATTTTGTTAACTCTTGAATTTATTCATGTAAATATTGAAATATTTGTAAATTAATTAATTACGCGCAACAATTAAAAAATCAAATCAATAAAGCCATTTCCTAATAAGGAAAATGTTTTTTGAAAAGTTTAAAAAGTACGCGTTTGTTTTTTATCTAGAGGTTAGCTGAAAGCTCGTATAAATATTTTTTATATATGAATATATTTTCCAGCTACAATGTACTGACACTTTAAAAGTGTCAGTACATTGTAGCTTGTACAAGTCATAATTTAATATGAATATATTTTCCAATTAAATAAGCATTTTATGTATTTTTTGTTGCTTAGAATACTTTCAAAGTTTTTTCATATAACTAAAAAGAACATGTTTAGTTAAAAATTAAATAAAAAATGACAATTTTGAATTTTTTTGTTTATTAATTACAAATTTTATATTTGAATTTTTTTTATAAAAAATATTTCCTTACAAGCGTCGTATACTACTTTACATTTGTGCAAAATTTCAACACTTAATCTTTACCCAGTGGACACTGACATAAAAAAGACGTCTTTTACACGTTTTGGACATCTTTTGAACGTCTTTTGAACGTTTTGGACGTCTTTTGCACGTTCAAAAGACGTCTTATTTTGGTCCGGTGCCCACTGGGTAGTAACAAAAAAGTTATTGATTTTTGAACCAAAACAGACCTTTATTTTCTACAGTGCAATTGGAGATATTTTATCTCCAAAAAACATATTTTAACTTGGAGATAAAATATTTTCTTGGAGGTAAAAACAAGCAGATACCAATAGAGATACGTATTAAAAAACTTATTATCTGCTTGTGTTACAAGTTACAGTATAAGTTATAGAGGTCTTTCAATATATTAACTAGAATTCTCCATGATGCTAACGTTAATAGTGAAAATGATAATAACTCTCTATTAATTCTTCAAAGACACCAATATGTAAACATTGAGAAACAAGGGTGACTTTATTAGAAATGAAATCGAAGAAAAGTTAAAAGGCAAAAGATTAATGTTGCAAGTAGACACTAAACTGGTGAGCAAAAAAGCGTTCTTACAAATGATAGGCTGCCATTAGTCTGGCATTAAGTGTATCCAGATGCTCCAGATTTCAAAAATATTCTTTAGGTGTTCATATAATTAAAGATTCAAAGGGAGAAGTTTAGGCAAGAGAGATTTATAACATTCTTTAATACTGTGATTGTTTAGGATTACAGTTAATTGAGATAAAACAAGTAGCCTGGTAAATACTACAGAGTAATAGCAACTCTTACTAATATTATTTACTCCAACATACTTCATATTGTCTGTAGGCATCATATATATGAAATCTTCATCTCACATTTTTAAAAGTTTTGTTTAGATGTACTTCTAAGTGATTAATACACGGGAGGGGACGTTTATTAGTGTTCGGAAAATTTTCCCCTTACTCCGTTTTACTTGTTATCAACAAAAGTAAAATATCTCAAAACTGAAACAAAAAATCAGAAAAAATGTATTTTAGTCATTGATAAAAAAAAAACTTTTAGTGAAATATAAAACTCTCAATAATTAGGACTTGTCAAAATTTAGGGTTAGTGTAAAACAGTTTC